TATATATATATATATATATATATATATATATATATAATCATTTGGAGAACATTATCAAACTCACCGATAAAAAGGAAAAAGATGAGCAACCCGAGTTCCCTCATGGAGGCCTTGAGAGTCCGCCCGAGGATCTGAAGGCCTTTACTGTGTCTGGATAACTTGAATATCCGAAACACTCGGACCAGCCTGATCACCCTGAGTATCGCCAAGGACATCGCCTGGTTCGTACTTTTGTCCTGCGGGCTTACCGGTGCCTTGGGTAAATTTAGCGTGTCCTCCTCCTCAGCCACTACCGTGGCGAGGGTGATGAAATATGGAATGATCGCGATGATATCGATGATGTTCATTACGTCACGGAAGAAGTTGAATTTATTTGGGCAGGCGAGGAAGCGCACTGTTAACTCGAATGTGAACCAGATGATACAGATAGTCTCTATTAGGAAGAACGGGTCCGTGATGTCCGGCACTTCGTCCTCCTCAATTTTCGTGCCATTTGTCGTCGTGTTGAAGACCTTGTAGTGTTTGAACTCGGGTAACGTCTCCAGGCAGAAGATCACGATCGACAGGAGGATCACGAACACAGAGATTATAGCGACCACCCGGGCACCCTGCGAGCTTTCCGGATATTCGAACAAGAGCCAGACTTTTCTCTGAAACTCGTGTGATGGCAGCGGCTTCTCTTCCTCCTTGATGAAGCCCTCGTCCTCCCTGTTTGATCGATTATCGTTTCATTAATACGATACTGATTACTTCTATTAAATTTTTTATAGACTATACTCATATTTGTATTTGTAGTGATACACAATATTTAAAAGTTTTCTTTAAGAATTATGGTCTTTTAGAATCAAAATGATTTAGATACAAAATGTAATTACGCTCTGAAGAATTAACAAGTGAAATCACAAATCTATCTATCTCGTGAGAAATGTTTAAAAACAAATCTACTTCAAATTGCTAAGCAATTTTATATATCAAAGCAAAAGACATTGAGTATAATGTGTTTAGGAAAAGTAGATACAAAGATCTGTGATGTTTCTAAGAAACAAAGATGTCTGGATTCAAGAATTTATGTAATAGAATTAAGAGAAAGCTGATGTTTACATTAACTTTATTTGCAGTAACTAGATTACATTAAGAACCAAATAGCTGTGTTCGTACCTAAACTTGTTGGTAGCCATCTCGCCCAGCTCGTAGAACTTGATTTCTTCGGAGAAGACATCGAGCGGGACGTTGACCGGGCGGCGTAGACGGCCGCCGCTCTGATAGTAGTAGAGTATGGCATCGAAGGAAGGTCGATTCCGATCGAAAAAGTATTCGTTGCGCAGTGGATCGAAGTATCGGAGCCGCCGTGACGGATCGCCGAGCAGCGTGTCCGGAAATTGGTTCAGCGTACGCAGCTGTGTTTCAAACCGTAGTCCGCTCACCTGTCGATTGCAATAATCGATTATTAGTATGGTGGCGCCACGCTGGGCGGGGCGCATCGTTCAAGTAGTTAATTGGAACGGAGGTGATTGTCGGGGGCTGCTCGTTTCACAAAGAGCTAACGTATTATTAGGAATTATCACATCGATCACGAGTGGATCACCTATTTAACATTGTTAATTTATTGAGTAGCATTTGACAATTTTAAAGGAAGATTTTCAAAATTTTGAAGGAATCTATATATTTTGTTTTTAACCTTGTTGAGAACCTTCCTCTAAAATTTTCAGACTACTATATATATGTATATAGATATATATGTATGTATGTATGTATGTATGTATATATGTATATATACACAATATCATTTTTAAAAAACTTTTAAAATACCTTTTGTGAATGTGTTAGTGATCAAATCGAGAATTAATTATATTGACAAATAAGATATTTGTAATAAAAAATTCATACAATTATAACATTATTATTTTTAAAAACTATAGAATAATTAAATATTTGTGTTGAATTTATAAAAATATGTAAATTAAATAATAAAAATATGTAATTTAAAATAATATTTTTAAACTTTACAATCAGCAACTCTATTATTAAGAAATTGTGCAAATGATATTGCAAAAACAAAAATATGTCTAAATAATGAGTTATAAATTAAAGAATGAAATATATATAAATAATATAAATAATGAAATAATCCATATTCAAATGGATTACAATCATCTTACAATTAATATTGTATATTAATTTGAAAAAAAACAATTAATTTCTCTTCATATTTTTAAGCATAAAATATTGTAATTTTTAATTAAATAAATAATCGATTTGTTGATTATTAACAAAGAATACATAAAAATTTCAAAAATTTTTTCATTTAACAATAGCGAGTCAATTAAGTCACTTACTCTTGGAGAACTGAATTCACGCTTAAGAAAAATATTTTTGATAAAATGAAAACAAAGAGAGGAAACGAAAAAAAAAGTAAAGGCAGCAAAATGTAAATCTAGCAACAAAACATTTTCGCGCTCTGTACGAATCTATTTCTTGAATAAAGCTACGCTCAAGAATCATCGAGTATAGAGAAGGTAATGCAATGCATTGCCCATTCGTCATAAACGAACAACATTTCTTTCAAAAATAAATCAAAAGATCATTATAAAAAAGATTTATTTAAATAATGTTTAATTGTACTTTAACGTTTTTAATATTCTGCTTTTAATTGAGACTGAAAAGAAAAGCATATGTTATATTATATTAGTGCACGTTGCACGCCGATTCCTACATTCACACGCTTTATCCACGCGTCATGTGGCGTGCTTTAACCTCTATCGAGTTTCCGTGTCCACCGTGAGATAAGAAGAAAAAAAAGAAAAAAAATAAGTAAAATGCATCGATTGAATCGATTGCTGTAATTGGCGCAATGCAGTCGTGTCATCCGCGAGGACAGATAATTCCGTTCACACAATATAACCTTGATGCTATATCGCCTCCGATTCCAAGACAAACTTGGATGGCCGCCAAAACGCAGTCTGTAGGTCACTTCATGTCTTGAGATAATCTCACTTCGTCAAAAAAAAAAAAAAAAGAAAGAAAGAAAGAAAGAAAGCGTGTGAATGTCGAACCGGGTTGGAATTACCTACGTAATAAAAATACGCGATAATTCCGATCATAGTGATAAAAGAAACTTGTTACAGAAACAATGAGAAAAAAACAAATTAAAGAACAATATTAAAGTGGAATTATATTTACATATGAGAGATCAGTAGTATATTTTACTGCCTTTGCCTTGAGAACCGTCGAATCTAGGATTTATGGCATCAAGAATTCGCGATATTAAAGATCCGTGGTGCCAAGGCTCCGTAAAGACGAAACTTTTTTGGCATTTGGAGTCGAACATTTTTCAATCCAAGAATCAGTGGCGCCAAAGGTTATAAAGAGCCAAAAGTTTTTAACATGTCTCTTAAGAATTCTTAACCTGATACAAAATAAAAATATTATACTGTAAGGAATATTTTTTCAAAACGATGAAACGCTGTGAGATATATCATTGGAAAGATCTTTTGACTGTTTATCATTCTGGAAGCAGTTTATCAAACTGTGATAATGCAAAACAATTAAAATAATTAAATAATAAAATTCTTACTTACGTTGATGACGACCCTTTCGCAGAAATCATGATCGTGCGGTATGGGTTCGAAGTGTGTGACGCCTGTGTATTGGGTGTGGGGGTTCGTCCCGTCTTCGTCCTGGCTGCTGAGTTTCGGCAGCGATCTATAATAATTATAGTCATAATGTCGTTAATAACTCTAACAACACATTCGAGAAGTTATAATGCGCCGTTTTTTCAGTATACCTGACATATGCACGACATATAGCTTCATAGATCAGACGAAGGTTCTCTCATAAAAATAACTATATTATGCTATATTAGAAAGAAAAATTCATACGTTGATCTATAGAAATATAAGTCTAATAAAATTTGTAGCGCATACAAAACCATTCCAAGACTATTACTAATGTAGCACAAAAATTTATTTAATTAAAACTTATTAAAACTTATTAAAATTTTTATATTAATAAAATGTATTTTATGTTAGAGATTATAGATTAAAATTATAGACTGAAAGTTGTACATTGTAGATTAGATTTAATTATAGGAATTCATCAAACTTTCTGTTGATTTTTAATTAACTATGTCATCGTAAATATTGTAGTCTTTACATTAGGCAAGTACACTTTCAGTTTACCAGAAAGTGGTCCGCATAGGCTGTCTTATTAATAGATATTTCATAAACGCGTGATATACATGTCTACTAAGCTGCTATACTTGATATTCTAATGGTCAAATAAAAATAGAAACACACCATGCATCTATAATCTACAATATATATTCTGCGTATAAAGCCTACTTATTAACAATCTCAATTGAAATTGATGTATGTATACTGGTATTGGAAGTATGTCAAGCAATCGATGAATGCGCGTCGATTCTGATAGTCAAACAGATGGGAAATATACGATTTGGACTGTCGAAGCGACAATCGGGGAATTATGTCAGTATGTTGCCAAGCACATAATTAACTGTCAAACAATTGAAACAGTAGAATTGAATGTCTTCAAAAATATCAAACTTTGAAAATAGTATATCAGAAGCAAAATAATATATTGAGTTAAGTTAGCCTCTATCCATTTTAAATATATAAATAAAAATTTTTTCTTAAACTCAATTAAATCGTATAAATAAACAAAATGTTATAATATGATCAAATGTAATCAAATTGCAAATGTAATGAAATAACTCATCACGCATTTTTTTTTGGAAACGAATAAAAAAATAGTCGTTCTTTTGAGAGCTCCAAAAATTAGCATTCTCATAAAGAAACTGTCATCTCATAAAAATTTATTCGTCTGGATAAACACTCTTCTATAGCAATTTCGCAACGGAAAGTTATTGTTACAGGAAAGAACGGTTTCACTGAAATATTTGTTTTAGCTAGAAACAGATCTAAAAATAATTTTGTTGTATCATTAAATAATTATGTAAGACGCTCAAATTGCTAGAATGTCAAAATTTTTTGCAACATTCATCATACTTGAGCATCCTACATAATTATTTTGTATATTATACTGGAATAATTATTTTAGTGGTCTAGCAAAATTATTTTTAAACCTATTATTTAGCTAAATCCAGATTTTTTTCTTTTTTTTAGATATTTGAACAACATCACTCTTTCTGTGTAATAAACAAATTTTTAATCGTTGATAATATGTTGAAGGTGATGTATAATGTGCCTGAAAAGACTTCAATATAAAGCGTCTTTATGATAATATTGAAAATATATTTGAAAATATTATACATTCGATATCAGATAAGCAAGAAAAATAATATTAAATAAACAAAATAGCTTCAAATTTTGACATCACGAAGAGATTAGACGAGATGAGGAATTGAAATTGAGCTGTGGAATAATTATCAAAAAAATTAAACGAAAGAATTTGATCCAGTTGAAGTTATCGAAATATCTCAGTTTAGCGTTTTTAAAATTGATCATCGAATAGACCACTTGTATAAGATGTAAAAATCGCCCACGGCTATTTGGCATTATTTTACGAATCCCCAATTTAGAAGCGAGGATGCATCCAGTCGATATATCTGGCGGGGGTTACGTCGATTGGCGATTTATTTTGGGGCGTCAATGGAAAGCCGATGCGACGAGGACAAACATCAATTTTGAAGTCCATGTACCCCCGGAGCGTGATAGAAATAGCGCAACGTAGTGGCGGAAATAGCCACTATGCGATCCTACGCGATAACTACCAATGGCACGTGCCGCCATGAAGAAGAATTTCACGTGCAAATAAACGACGTGCTTATGATATTTCAATCATTCATGTGAAATTTTAGAAAATCAATAAAAAAGGAGCATAATAATTGTTTTAATGACACTGAATATTCATTAGAAACAGCATAACATAATTAATCGTAAAATGATCATAACTGCTAAAAGAATAAAATAAAAAATAATTAGTAACGTTTCTATACAAAGCGCAGCATTGCAATAATACTGTTAAGCTTTTTAATATTAAAATATGGTATATTTTATGCGCACGATGTTATATGTAATCATCTACAAGATTCCCAAGGGATTAAAACAGAACTCAGATTATAATTCGAAAAAATCAACTTTCCGATTAACGTAAGATATATGACGTGCATTATACCATTTTGACATTTCGACAACTAAGCATAATGCGTAGATTATTACGTGCATAAACTATTCCGCCTACCATAATTATGATAAATATCAAATCATTGTAAAATGTTTCTACGTATATAAAAAATTTGACGAAAGATACCTTTCAACAAATTTTAAAATTTTCTTCAATTTTTCATATATTAAATAGCAATAATAGATATTAAATTATTTTTTTCAGATTCACTTATTTCATTTATTTATTCCATATGTTCTATTAGCCGATTCTTTAATGAAATTCATTCATATTGTTTAATGTAAATATTTCATATTGTTTATTGTAAAATGTTTTCCAAAATTTCTTTATAAACTTTTTCCCAATTTAAATATACATAATCCGGTATCTATTAATATCGAATGATAAAAGAGCTGATACTTGTTACGGATGGTTGGCTCTTATCAGAAAACAAGTGTAAAAGACTTTTAATGACATGATCCTAACCTAGTAATTTTGAGAATTTAATATGCTATCTGAGTGTATCCCGAACAAATAATTAAAAGAAGTGAAAGAAAGAAGATGGAAAAAAATAACAAGTTGTGTTAGTCGGTTAGTGAAAAAAAAGTATCGATTCTTATAATTTGCGATTATATAAACTAGAGAGTACATATACTTGAATATATAGATAATAAAAATATGATTCAGTTGTAATTTATGAACATTTTTCATGAAACTTATTGATATTTATAATTTCTGGTAACATTTTCGATGAAAAAATATTTTAAAGAAAACATATTGCTCAATCTACAAGTATTAAATTGTAACATGGAAACGATAATTTGTATGTGTCATCTAATAAAATACTATTTTCTGTTTACAAAAATTTATCTGTCATTTAAAATTTAATAAAATCATTTAATCTATATCAAGTATGGCTATTACTCTTTGCATCACAATTTCCTCCTCATCAAAAAATGACGAAACAGAAAAAAAATTTATTGAGCTCTTTTGCTCTTCACTTCCCTTTATTTGCAACACTTTACCTACATGAAGCATCGTTCTTCCTATTTTTATGCGACCATTCATGTCTCGGCATAATCAAGCTGACCCATATTAAAAGAAGAGATTGACAGACAAAAAGACAAAAAGCTGACTGCACACAAATCTTCGAGGAGAAAATTGTATAACACACACATGATCTTTAAAAAAGGTATAATCCAATTTTAAGTTTTTTTTTTGATATGATATAGCTTCTTCACAAATATAATAAAATTATTTTCTTTCTGAAAGTATAACTTTTGCATTATCAAAATGTAAAATTAATCAGACAGAAATTAAAAAAATTAATTTACTTAAATATTATTCTTATGTAAAATTATTTTACGTCGCTTTTTCTACAAAAAATTAATTTTTGATACAAAATTTTGCATCAAACATGAAAAATTATATATATAAACTAAAAATTATATACAAACTAAAAAATAGTCAATATATTTATTATCATTGTCAAAATAGTAAATTAACATGCTAAAAAATTTTTTGAAAAATTTACGTATTTATTGTATAATAAAATCAAGAAATTGTATTATAAGAATTTAAAGATATTGTATAATTTTGCATATTTAAATCAAGTATAATACTCTGATTTTTTTATCTTAATAGATTTCTTGTACGATAATTTAATGATCCAAACTGTCTCCTTAAACTAAAATGTTCAGTTTTTAGTCATCTATAAAATCAGTTTAATGTTTCAACAAAATCCCATCATATAGAGATTAAAAGACACATTATTAAAATTTATATTAAAATATTTCATTTATAAAAAAAATTTTTAATAAAAAATACATATATTCATCGATTATTTTTATTTAAGTTAATTTATATATACTCATGTGTTGTGCGTGTCTCAGTCATGTAGTTCTGATTTCGTCATTAATTTAGAAGTTTCTCAAGAAGCTACCTCTTGCTACTTTTTGCTTCTTAACATGTCGTCCACATTTTTCCGCTGCATTGAGTGCTCCAACGAATAAGAGGGACCATTGCGGAGTGGTGCGGCAGCCCTTGACGATCTTTATGAAGTTATATAAAACGAAGAGATGCGAAAAAAGCAAATCAGGGAATAAAATTGAAAGATTCATTCGCAATCTAAAGATAGAAAATGCAATTTAAAGATATTGTATTATAATTTTGCATATTTAAATCAAGTATAATACTCTGAATTTTCACAATAGATTTCTTGTACGATAATTTAATGATCAAAATTGTCTCCTTAAACTAAAATGTTCAGTTTTTAGTCATCTATAAAATCAGTTTAATGTTTCAACAAAATCCCATCATATAAATATATTTATAAAATATATTTATAAAAACATAAAGTAAGTTTTGAGAATACAACTTATAACAAAAACAATCATGTATAATATTTTGTACATGTAAACATACAATACTTTGAACAAGAACGTTATATTATGCAAACGCTTGAGTGCAGACGCCCCCGCGTATGTACGCATACAACATATCTACGCGGAGGGTGCATTCTTGTGTACATATAGATGAATTCAAGTACACACGTAAAAAAA